TTAAATATATATAACATAATCCTTTTGGTAATATAATAAATTAACATATATTAAAAGTTGGCTTTTTGGTAAGCAATAAAATAATGTGATATTAATATTATATACAAAAAGCAAGGTGTTGTATACATACGGTGAAACAACAACCTTACTAGCATAATATAATAAGTAAACAAGATGCATAAATCTAAGTAAATGGAATGAAGAACTTAAAATATTAAAAATTTACCATTGGTAAACAGCAAATTATTATGATACTAATAATTTATAAATTTATATCAAACACAAGATGGTAAATCACTTGTACACTTTTCAATGAACTTGTGAAAAACTTACCGAACATGATGCCATCAAATCAATTGTACAAAGCAAAGTGTTCTTGCGGTAGAACAGCAGCCGTACGAACATGAAATAATAATATATTATAAAGTTATATAGCAGGTACAAGACGATATAATTGCTTATACACTTTGCAATGAACTTGTAAAAAAATTACCGAACAAGATGCCAATGTTGAAAATCAATTGCGGTAGAACAGCAGCCGTACTAACATAATGTATAATCTAACTGAATAAAGTGAAAATAAGACAATTGTCTTATAACACTAACTCTTAAAATAATGCTGGGCATACTGCCAATGTTGAAAATCAATTGTAAAAATCAAAATGTATTATGCGGTAGAACAGTAGCCGTACACATAGCAAGTACAAGACGATATAATTGCTTGTACACTTTGCAATGAAATTGTAAGAAAATTATCGTATACAATGCCAATGTTGAAAATCAATTGTAGAAAGCAAAATTTATTATGTGGTAGAACAGCAGCCGTACTAACATGAAATACTACATTATACAGTTCTATAGCAAGCACAAGACGATACAGTCACTACTTGTATACTGTGTAAAAATAATGTTGAACATACTGCCAATGTTGAAAATCAATTGTAGAAAGCAAAAGTATTATGCAATAGAACAGCAGCCGTACCAACATAATGTATAATCTAAGTGAATAAAATCAAAATATGACAATTGTTTTATATAACTAACTCATAACTCTTAAAATGTTTATATAGCATGTAAAATACGGTGTAATCACTTAAATATTGTGTAAGGAACTTATAAAAATAACCTATGCCAATGTTGAAAATTGATTAATTGTAGAAACAAAATATTCTTAATGCTGTGGAACACCAGCCGTACTAATATAGCAAGCACAAGACGATACAGACACTACTTGTACACTGTGTAAACAACTTATAAAAATAATGTTGAACATATTGCCAATATTGAAAATTCATTGTTGAAAGTAAAATGTATTATGCGGTGGTATAGCAGCCATATTAACATGAAATAATAGTTAGACCTGATGTATAATCTAAGTGAATATGATGAAAATATGGCAATTGCCTTGTATGATACTTAAAATATTTAAATTTAAGCATGGGCAAATGGAAAATTATATTCAATACCGATATTAAAAAAGTTATTGAGCAAACAAAAGAAGTTACAATCACTTGTATAATGCGTAAAGAACTTGTAAAAATAATGTTGAGCATAATTCCCATGTCTAAAATCAATTGTAGAATACAAAATAAATATTATACTAATATAAAAATATATCACAGGAAATATTTTGTATAAAATGTAAATTATTATTGATATTATTATATTATATATATTATATTATATTATATATATTATATTTTACACAAATTATATATAATATTACTGTATATATAATATTTATGGAAATATTTCATACAAAATATAAATTATTATTGATAATATAATAATATAAAAATAATAATTAAAGAAAACATTCTACACAAATTAAATATAATATTAAAGTATAAACATATTTAAGGAAATATTTCATACAAAATATATATTTTATTGATATTATAATTTATATATAAAAATATTTGTAAAACAAAATATTACAAAATTATATAATATATATTATATATATTATATTATATTATATTATATTATATATATTATATTATATTATATTATATTATATTATATTATATATATTATATTATATTATATTATATTATATTATATTATATTATATTTATATATTATATTATATTATATTATATTATATTATATTATATTATATTATATTATATTATATTATATTATATTATATTATATTATATTATATTATATTATATTATATTATATTATATTATATTATATTATATTATATTATATTATATTATATTATATTATATTATATTATATTATATTATATTATATTATATTATATTATATTATATTATATTATATTATATTATATTATATTATATTATATTATATTATATATATTATATTATATTATATTATATATTATATTATATTATATTATATTATATTATATTATATTATATTATATTATATTATATTATATTATATTATATTATATTATATTATATTATATTATATTATATTATATTATATTATATATTATATACATATATATATTATATATTATATT